GATCACATATTAGACCACAAAACAAGTCTCAATAAATTTAAGGACATTGAAGTTATATCAAGCATCTTCTCTGACCATAGTGGTATGAAATTAGAAATCAATTGCAAGAAAAAAACTGAAAATCACACAAACACATGGAGGCTAAATAAATGTTACTAAACAATGAATGGGTTAACAATGAGATCAAGGAAGAAATCAAAAGATACCTTGAGACAAACGAAAGTGAAAACACAACAACCCAAAATCTGTGAGACAACCGAAAACAGTCTTAAGAGGGTCCCTTGTAGACAACATATATTTGGGTCTTATTTTCTTGTCAAGAAACAAGGAAAATCCCAAATAAACAATCTAATCTTACACATAAAGAAACTAGAAAAAGAATAGTAAACAAAGCCCAAAATGAGTAGAGGTAAGAAAATAATAAAAATCAGAGTGGAAATAAATGAAACAGAGTCTAAAACACACACACACACACACACACACACACACACACACACACACACACAATACAAGAGATCAATAAAACCAAGAGCTGGTTTGTACAGAAAAAGAAACCACCAACAAAATCAAAAGACAACCTATTTGCCAATTATACATTCAACAACAGGTTAATATCCAAAATTTATAAAGAACTCATTCAACTAATCACCCTAAAAATAAACAACCCAATTAAAAACTGGGTAGAGGACCTGAATAGACACTTCTTAAAAGATGATATACAGATGGCCAATAGGCCTATGAAAAGATGCTTAATATCATTAATCATCAGAGAAATGGAAATGAAAACGACAATGAGATGTCACTTCACATCTGTCAGAATGGCTATCATCAATAAATCAAGAAATAATAAGTGTTGGCAAGGATGTGGAAAAAGGGGAACCCCCATACACTATTGGTGGTAATGCATGTGGGTGCAGCCACTATAGAAAACAGAATGGAAGGTTCTCAAAAAAAAATAAAAATGGAACTGCCTTATGACCTAGCAATTCTAATTCTGGCTATATATCTGAAAAACCCCAAAACACTAATTCCAAAGAATATATTCACCCCTATGTTCATTGCAGCATTATTTTCAATAACCAAAATATGGAATCAACCCGAGAACCCTTCAACAGACCAGTAGATAGAAAAAGTAGTGGTACATATATACAATGGAATATCACTTAGCCATAAAAGGAATGAAATCTTACCGTTTGTGGCAGCATGGATAGTATTAAGCTAAGTGAAATAAATCAGACAGAGAAAGACAAATACCATATGATTTTACTTATATGTAGAACCTAAAGAACAAAATAAATGAACAAACAAAATAGAAACAGACTCATAGTTTTGGATAACAGACTGGTAGTTACCAGAGTGGAGGGGGTTTTGGATACTGGGTAAAATGTTGAAGGAATTAAGAAGTACATATTGGTCCCAGCCAGTGTGGCTCAGTGGTTGAGCATCAACCTATGAACCAGGAGGTCATGGTTCAATTCCTGGTCAGGGCACATGCCCGGGGTTGCAAGCTCAATTCCCAGTGAGGGACATGTAGGAAGCAACTGATCAATGATTTTTTCTCATCATTGATGTTTTTATCTCTCTTTCTCTCTCCCTTCCTCTTTGAAATCAATAAAAACTTTTTAATAAAATAAAAATTGTCACAAGGATAGGGAATATAGTCAATAATATTGAAATAACTATGTATGGTGCCAGGTGTTTATGTGAATTATCAGAGGGATCACTTTGTAAATTTATACAAAACTAGAGACCCGGTGCACAAATTCGTGCATGGATGGGGTCCCTCGGCCTGGCAGTGATCTGGGCCAATAGGGCCGTCTCACCCAGTCCTAATTGGGGCCAATCGGGCCAGCCGGCCGGGGGGAGGGACCTCAGGAGGTTGCCTGGCCACAGAAGGTTGGCTGTGGGAGCACACTGATCACCAGCGGGCAGCTCCTACATTAAGCATCTGCCCCCTGGTGGTCAGTGTGCATCATAGCAACCAGCTGATGGGTTGTTCAGGCGACCAGTGGTAAAGGCTGCTTAGGCTTTTATATATAGAGATATATAGATAATATTGAATGTCTATTGTAATTGAAAAATAAAAATTTTTTAAAAGAAAAAAAATAAAGAACCACCCACTTCATTATATGAGGCCAACATCATTTTGCTTTAAAACTGTAGGCCAAATAAAATATTATCAAATCAAAACCAATGACATTTCAAACCAATAGGGAAAAAAATAAACAATTTAATAAATGGTATTCGGACAATTGACTATACACATACTTGGAAGATATAAGTTCCAGATGAATTAAGGATAAATCTAATATTTAAAACATGTTATAGAAGGTGAAGAGGTTAGCCAAAGAGCATATATGCATAGCCCATGGACATAGATAATAGTGTGGTGATGGCCAGAGGGAGGGGGACAGAGGCTGGGTGGAGGTGGGTAAAGGGAAAGAAAAAGGAAGACACCTGTAATACTATCAACAATAAATAAATAAAAATAAACACATTATAAACTTGCTCGTAAGACCTTCTGAAATAAGACTTGCTTAGCACCACACCCTACTGTGTGACTTAGAACACATTATTTAGCTTTCTGAGGTATTGTGTTGTTGTTGTTTTTAATCTATAGAATAGAGATGATAATAGAAGTATTGTGAAATACACTCTGATCTGCCAAAGTATAAATCTCATTTGTTACATTAAACTTTGTGGTTTAATGGTTATATCCAGTTCTGTATACCTCAGTCCTCTGGAGGTACTGAAATTTTATTTTTCCTGCTGCTATTAAGAACATATATGAGCCTGGATGGTGTGGCTCAATTGGTTGAGCATTGTCCTATACACCACGAAGTCACTGGTTCAATTCCCAGTCAGAACACATGCCCAGGTTGCAGGCTCAATCCCCAGTAAGGAGTGTGCAAGAGGCAGCTGGTCAATGTTCCACTGTCACATCGATATTTCTCTTCCTCTCCTTTGCTCTCTCTGAAATCAATAAAAACATTTTTTAAAGAACATATTTGAGTCCAGCTGGTGTGGCTTAGTGGTTGAGTATTGACCTATGAACCAGGAAGTCAAGGTTCAATTCCCAGTCAGGGCATGTGCAGGATTGTGGGCTGGTCCCTAGTATGGGGCATGCAGGAGGCAGCCAATCAATGTTTCTCTCTCATCATTGATGTTTCTATCGCTCTTTCCCTCTCTCTTCCTCTTGGAATATATATATATACATATATATATATATATATATATACATATATATATATACATATATATATATGTATATATATATATATATATAGAGAGAGAGAGAGAGAGAGAGAGAGAGAGAGAACATATTTGAGTCTAATTTGCAGAAATTCTTCTTCTGTTAACTCCTATATCTCAGCACCTCTAGAAATGACAAAATTTTCTCCTTCAACATTTTTGACAAGTTTTTAACCTATTGACATGATTTCTTGCTGATATATGATTATATATGTCTGTACAAAAACAGCAAGAGATCCAGGAATTCTGGATGTTCTTTTGATTTTTCTCCTTTTAAGATTTATTCCCACAAGAAGAAAATAATTATTTTTAATAACTTAATGGGTCACTTTCAAGAACTCTCTCCACTCCTTTATCAAGCAGATGTAAAAACATGTTAAAGTCATTTATTTTTCCTCTTGAACAAAAAGATAAAAAGACAAATCCTGTTTCATTGGTAAAACTATTATACTGTTTATTTGCCTGTGTGTTTTGTTTTCTTTTCCCCTTCCCTGATGACCAATTCTATGATAAAGTAACTCTATGTCTAGATTGAGACTCAGTTTCAGGTGACAGAATCCAATTCAAACCAATCCAAGGAAATTCCTAAGGGAATAAATTGGTTTTGGTAGGTGGAAAGTCCAGGGCTGGGTATATCTTCAGGCGTAGCTGGTTTGCATGGCTAAGGCCTAGCTCCACCTGATCCACATGGAATAATTCCCCTCAGAAGGAGGCGGAGCTGTCTCAGCAGAAACAGAGAAGAAAGCACTGAACTGGCAAAAGCAATACCTGTCCACAGCAGTAATGGAAGCTGTGTCCTGGTTCCACACAATGTGCACATGTGCCTACCCTGTCGCCTGCTCCCTCAGGTCACTGTTTGCACAGGGGTTGCAACATTACAGCAGTCTTGATGGGTCATGAAGCCTGGAGGGTATTTGCTTCAGTTCCTTGACTGTGTCTCGGTAATGAAGTTAGAAAACAACTTGCCTGCACTCAGTTTGCTGTTTTGCACCCATGTTATCTGTTGTGATACTCATTAACAATCCATATTTTGGTGTGTGTGTGTGTGTGTGTGTGTGTGTGGCTTAATTAGGAGAGATGATGTCCCATACAGAAGCCTCGCGAAAGCAAATGCTCATAACCTCATGAGATTTGAGTGAAAAGTCTTCTACAAAGGTTCTGAGTCTCATTTTCCTAGAAGAGCAGAGAGTTCCTGAGGCTTTCTCATCCATGTCTGAAGGCCTACGTGCGGTGGTTCCTGATCCTTGGCCTGTTAGCATTGCCCTGGACATCTGCTGAGGGAAAGGACCCGCGCTGCAGGGAGTGGAGGAGGCCTGTAATTGCGTTGGGAACCACAGCCTCATTGTTCTGCGCTGCAGACATGTTGGCACAGTTGACAAACGCTCGGCCCACTCCTGGGTCTCCCGGGGCTCTCTCCACCCCAGGAGTATGACTGTCTTCTCCCATTCCTTCTGCCTCCGGAGAGGTTGAGACAGCTTCCAATTTTTTGTTCCAAAATTAGGTTTGTTTGTCCTCTCTGCACTCCTTCCATTCATTCCCTCTCTCCACAGTCTCTCCCCCAGTCATTAGAATGCTTTGTCTCAAGCACAGGAGCAGCGAGGGGCTATTGGTAACCACAGGCAACCAAGAACCTGTAGTGGCTATTCGTGCTATCTTTGTGAGGCGCAATCTAGCCACTAGCTGGGTAACAGAAAAATGTGCCCTACAGGTTTCCTTGTACAGTAAAATATCGGCTTCTCTGTCTTTAGAACGACCAGTTCATGGGCGAGATGCAGATGATTGGAGGCTATGGTCTTTCGATACTGGCAGGAAAGGTTTGCTCATGTGAGGCTGCTCAGTTCGCACTGATGCCTGACGTTGTGGGGAAATCGGTGACCTTCATTTCAGGTCAGCACTTGCAGTACATTTCAGACACTCTCCAGGGTTTGCTAATTCATGCAAATGGATGTGTGAACTCTTGTAATGATTTCTCCTTTATAAAACACTCCTTTATAATGCTTCCAGGACGTGATGCAGACCAAATCTTTCGTCTGCGAGCTTTCTTCCCATCTTATTTCAGACAGCCTCGGATTGCAAAACCCCTTGGCACTCCTTGTTCTTTCTTGTCTGTTCACCCTTTCAGGTGCCTCCTGAAAAGGAGGCTTTTCCCTCTACTTGTCTGCTTTATGTCTCTCGTCTATGCCTCAGCACCCAGGCACTCCAGTAAGACATTTCATACACAGGTTTGTTGGAATGTACAAAATCGGGGGAGAGAATAAAAAAGACTTTTGTGACAGCACGTTTTTCAGCCCTTTGCCCTTCCCCCTTATTAAAAAGATTTAACCCGTTAGATCATGGGGAACAGGCCTTCCATTTTAACATGGGATTCCAAAACTTGCCAAGGCTTAGCAATCCAGTGGGGAGAAATGTTTGGATTCTGACATAAATGCATGCATCCGGAGAAAGAGTGTTTCATAAAGCAGTTGCTCTTTGCATCAATGTGACCTGAAGTGAAGGTTTTGCTGTAAATGAAAGCAACACAGATTTTGTTTTTGCTCAGCTCTCCCTTCTGATATACCTTGTATCCATTATCTCTGAACTGCTCCAGCTTTCTAAGTAAAATGGCTCAGTCTGGTACACAAGCTTAATCTCTCCTATTTGCGGTTGTTATTGTTATGCAATGGCCGAATGGTGAAAAGGAATACCAGTCCCATTTAATCACAAGATGAATAAATAACACTCAGGACACTCCAATACCATAAGGACTCATTACAAAACAGCTACTTCCCTGACTCTGAAGGCAAACTGTGGCATCCAAGTGTTAAATTACTATCTAGTAGTAAATTATGTCCCATAGAAATGGGAATTAACTTGATGTTAACATAGCACTAGGCCACCATTTGATGTTACTACTTCAGTGTATAGAATAACATGCTAGGAAGCTAAAATACACAAAGCAATTTCTCAAAATTCATAACTTTTAATACCCCTGGAGTGGTCTTTAAATGATGTCATTTTATTTTTTTTATCTTTTAACTTACCTTTATTTTATTTTTATGAAATGTATAATTTTATCGCTATTTGAAAAATTTGCATGTGTCAGTCCATGGTAGCTGGTAACCTGAAAGAATCATTTGTCAGGCTAACGAAGGTTGAAGCCAACTCCTGTCCTTACTGCTGGCTGGTTTTCCATCTCTCCTACCTCTACTTCCATGACCGATAATGTATCAATGTATGTATGTGTAAGTCTATAGTAATATGTTTAACTTAATGTGTGTGGTAAGATCAACCAACTTAAATAGTACATTTTTATCAAATGGGGAAGTAAACATCAGAGATAAAACTAGGTTGCAGCCTGTAATACTGTGGAAATACGTCATCAGTATTCCTGAAAGTCAAAAGCTGGCAAGTGATAGTGAGCACAGCCCAATATTAAACTACATCTGTTTTATATAGTTTTGTATGCAAATGTTAGTTCAATATGAAGCGTTGTTTTCATTTAGGAAAAGATAAGGCAAACAGTTTAAGTCATTATACCAAGCTAACATTATTACTGTACTTTTTTTCCCTAAGATCTGATAAATATGTTTATAAATAGCAACTGAATTCTAAGTTAATGCACATTTTAAAAATTGACATATAACATTATATTAGTTTCAGATGTACAACATAATGATTCAATATTTGTATATATTGCAAAATAATCACCATAATTCTGGGTAACATCTAATTAACATAAGACAATTTAGTACTTTGTTGTGTGACATTGCCTTATAGATTTATTACACAAGTTTATTATGTACCTTGTGCTTTTATCATAGGGTCTGTCAAAGTTGCAACTCTAAGAACCCCAAATGAATGCCTCCATGACAAAAATTGCACTTAGAATTATGGTCCTTCTGTCCTTCTAAAATCATGTTCTATTTTCTTTTAGAGTAATTTGCCTCTTAGGTAAGCACTGGGTAGTCCCTTCCATTAAGAGATAGAAAAGAGGTTGAGGAAAGGGTACTTTCTTCCTGGAGGTAGAGTAAGCAGAAGGAGTGATAGCGCTGTGCCTCAGTATCCCCTCCCGTAATTACTACACGGACCATCCCCATGAGAAAGTAGAGACCAAGGAAGTTGAGGTAGGAGAGATGGAAAACCAGCCAGCAGTAAGAATGACAGGAGCCGGCTTCAATTTTTACTATTCTGACGATTCATTCTTTTAGGTTACCAGGTACCACGTTGCAGTATCTTTACACTCTCCATGTGTGCATAGACGTACAACATATGCCAAGTAAAACCCCTTGGCCTTAGAATACAAATGGTTTAATATTTCTAAGATGAATCAACATCGATTAGCCAGCTTCTCAGATGTCACGACAATGTAAGGTTGAGATCCCGCAGTTCCAGGTGCTTAGGCTTGCATCAGAAGGGAATGCTGAACACGCCAGCGGAGACCACACTCTGTGCCTTCACGTATACCTCGAATCTGCCCACTTCTCTCCATCTCCCTGGTAATCACCCAAGTCTAGACCCTTGCTGCTCAAAGTGTGGTCTAAGGCAGGGTTCAGCAAACTTTTCTGATAAGGGCCAGATAGTAAGTACTTTAGGTTTATGGGACATAGAGTCTCTGTGGCAGCTGCTTACCTCTGCAGTCATAGCATGAAAGCAGCCATAGAGAACATGGAAACAAGTGGCTATCTATATATATAAAGAGCCAGGGGCCATCACAACCAAACAGATGACCGAACAGGCTGAGTGGGGCAACAAGGCCAGCAGGAGGATTAGTGAGGGGCAACCAAATGACTGAACAGCAGGCTGTGTGGAGCGACCACGTCGTCAGGGGGGAAGTGAGGGGTGACCAGGCCAACAAGGAGGGCAGTTGAGGCTGTGAGGAGTGACCAAGCCAGTGGGGGGGGCGCAGTTGGGGGTGACCAGGCCAGCAGGGGGGGTAGTGAGGGGTGACCAGGCTGGTAGGTGGCAGTTGGGGGTGACCAGACTGGCGGGGGGGGGGGGCAGTTGGGGGCAACCATGCTGGGGGGGGGCAGTTAGGGGTGACCAGGCCAGCGGGGGAGGGGGGCAGTTGGGGGCAACCAGGTTTGGGGGGGCAGTTTAGGGCAACCAGGCCAGCAGGCAGAGGCAGTTAGAGGTGATCAGGCTGGCAGGGGGCCAGTAGGGGCAATCAGGCAGGTAGGCAGGTGAGTAGTTAGGAGCCAGTGGTCCCGGATTGTGAGACAGATGTCTGACTGCCTCAGAATCGGGCCCAAACAGGCAGTCAGCCATCCTCCGAGGGATCCCGGATTGGAGAGGGTTCAGGATGGACTGAGGGGGACCCCCCCACCCCCACCCCTCATCGTGCACAAATTTCATGCATTGGGTCTCTAGTATTTCAATAAAATTTTATTTACAAAAATAAGCAGCACGCCACATTTAGCCAATGGGCAATAGTTTGCTAACTTTTGATCTAGGGCAAGAATGTCAAACTTGCAGCCCAGACAATATAACAGTATGTAAGAAACATTTTAATAAAAATTTTGTCACTTAATTTTAACAATTTCCTGTTATACATAATTATTAATAATGATCTACAATGTTCTCTAATGACTGGTTACTATAATCACATTGCATTCATTTCCCTTTAGCATCTTACCAGCAGGCGCACCATTTCTCTCCACTAACACTAGCAACGAATATTTTAGCAGCTGATTGCCACGTCATTAATCTTAGACTGTCTTATTTGGTGTGCGCAACAGGAAATATTTCGCTTTCGGAGAACAAGAAAAATAGGTTTATTTGCGTTATGCTTATTAATTTGTGCAGTTTATTCAGTGTCTAGTAAGTTAATGTTCAAGAAAAATACTAATTTTTATTAAAATATTCTATTATTTTATGTTAACGATTACTCATTTATTTCAGTTCTTTGCATTCAGCATGTCTCTATCGAAATAAACCTACGTTTCTAAGAAAATTGAAGCTTTTGTGGGTTTTTTTGTGGCCCACATAAACTTAAACCTTGTTTATTTGGCCCGTGTTGGCCTCTGAGTTTGACAGGCTTGCTCTAGGGACCAGCAAGGTCAGCACCACCTGGAAGCTTATTAGAAATGTAGTATCTCAGATCCCCACATCTTCTGAATTAAGTTCATTCGAGCAAGAGCCTTAGATGATTCCTTTGGACATTAAGGTTGGAGAAGCACTGGTCTCCCAGGGTGAGGCCACCACCACCCCTCCTCTGGGTTGCTATGCTGGACTGACTGGTCTCCTTGAACTTCTACCTTTAGTTAACTTTGCCACCCTTTACCATTCTCCACAAAGCAGCCATAGGGGTCTTCTTAAAATGCAAATTGGTTCACATCTCTTGCCTACCAAAAACCTTTCAGCAACCTCTCAACTAGGGTTATCAGACTTAACAAAAACAATGAAAAACAGGATACCAAGTTAAGTTGGAATTTCAAATAAACAATGAAATACGTTTTAATATACATATGTCCCTTGTATATTTAGAACATACTTACACTAAAAAGTTAGTTGTTATTTATCTGAAATTCAAATTTGACTGGGTGTTCGGTACTTTACCTAGCAGCCCATGCCCAGTGCTTGAGGTTATAGTCTGAACTCCTTCTTACAGCTTGTAAAACCTGCATGATCTGGCCTTGTCTCCTTACCAGTATCATCAGACACCACCTTAACCTCCTCACAATGCTCTAACCATACTGGAGAAGCTCCTTCCTGCCAAGATCTTGGACAAGTTGTGGCCTCCACCTGGAATCCATTCTCCTCCTATCCTGCAGGTCTCAGCCTAAAGTCTCCTGTGTAAGGGAGGCCTTCCCTGACTCTGTCTAAATGAGCACATGCT